CGGCGCGGCTCAGCTCGGCTCGCAGTGACCGCGCCGCGGCCTCCCGGGCCTCCCCGGCCGCTGCCGCCCGCCTCACACTCTCCGCCTCCTCCCGGAGGGCACCCCGGCGCTGCCCCGCCCCGCCCTCTGTTTACTTTAATTAGCCAATAGCTGAACGGATGGTCCCCGCGCCGCCTTCTCATTAGTCCGTGCCTCCACCATCCCGCCCCCCAAGCCAGAGATTGGTTCAAAGGGGCCGGTGGACGGGACTAACGCGTCACCTCTTCCTGGTTGGCCTGCGGGCGGGGTTCTGCCCCTAAATTCGAATTTCTAGGCCTTTGTAGATTAAGAACTGCTAATTAGCGCCTAGTCTTCCGCGAGGAAGACGGAGGTGGGTCCTCTGGGTCACGCCCAGGAGACCGGATGTGTAATTGAATGAAGGAAGCGTCGGTCTCCTCGTGAGGCAAACTGATTGGGCCATCAGCTGGGGCTTGGCCAGGGTGCCTTTCGCTAGCGCTAAGCTTTTCTAGGGTTTTGTCACGGCCTCGCTTGGTGTCTTGGGGGTTTCCTGCGGGCCAGCCTCGAGCGAGTTTAGGCCGCGTGGCCTGCTTTGTCCGGAGGTGGAAGCGAGGAAAGGCTGCGTGAAGATTAGCTGCCTCAACTTCGTTCCCGCCCCCCCCCCCAGTCCCCGGCCACCCGTACAGTAACTGGTGGCACCCCCGCCCCACACTCACACCCGGATGTTGTGATTCCTCTCCACCCACATTGCCTCGCCTGCTCTGGACCTCTGATGCCTAATAAGGCAGCGTTGCCACTCTTAGACGTTAGGATTTGCTTACACCCATTATACAGGTATGGAGCTGAGGCACTGGACATTACGTGGTTGACTCCACACAGAAGTCTAGGGAGAAAATAAGGCCAAAATTTTACAGCTAATCCACACTATCTAGCTCAAGACCCCACTCCCTCCACCCAGTTAGCGGAACCAGAAACTGAGGTCTTCCCAAACTCAGCGAGGAAGACAGAGCCAGATTCAATTAAGCTGTCTTTTCCTGTTCATTCATTCACTCACTCACCCCAAAATACTTACAGAGCACCTGCTTTGTCTCAGGCACCGAGCCAGTTACTGAAGAAAACAGTGGAATCAGCGAGATATCCCAGTTCTCTGCTTGAATGCTCAAAGAGGGCAGGAGGGTGACATTTGAGAACTCCAAACAGAGGCAATAACAAGTCCAAAATCTCTGAAACTAGAATTAAGTTTGATGAAGAAGAAGTGTCCAGACTCCAAGGGTCTGAGATAAGACAGGAGCAAAGGCACTTAGCTAAATCTTGGATAGCTTTATAGAGCACAGTGAAGATTTTGTCAGGAAAAGTGAACTGTGAAGGTTTTGAAAGGTTGACCCATACTTTAAAAATAAAGGGAGAAAATAACTTTAAAAAGATCACTCTTAATAGACTCACAGGCCACTATGATTAGAAGCAGAGAGCAGTTGAGAGGCTAGGGAATTTCAGGAGAGAGTAACAAGGAGGCGGTGGAGTTGGAGAAAAGTTCATGGATGTAAGACACATTTGGGAGTTAGAGAACACCTGGGTGGCCAGTGGAACAAAGGGCAGGCAGTTCACTTAAAGAAGAATCATCACCCACCCCCAGGGAGACATGATTAGAGAGAGTGTGTATAGCCTGTCATGGTTAATGGAATGGGGCTGGGTAAGGTGGCCCATACCTGTAATCCCTCACTCAGGAGACTGAGGCAAAAGGATTGCTGCATGTCAAGGCCACCTGGGCTATGCCATGAGTCCCTGTCTCAAAAGAAAACCAAAAAATGCAGATGAGAAAGAAAGAGTATCTAGGTAGAGGGACACTAGAAGTTCAGATATCTGTAGAGAGAGGGAGAACAACTCATGCTTTCAGCACCAAGGCAGAGCATGAGGCTAGAATTTCAAGGGATAGGCAGGGGGAGCACAAAATGAGGCTAAGGCCTGAGGAGGTTCCTGGATCAAGGAGGATCTTGGAAGCCAGGTAAGGAGTTTCCATTTCATTTTCTGGGTAGAGGGGAGCCTTCAGGTGGGGAGGGGCAGATTTTAGTGTGATCAGATTTACTTTCCCAAACAGCTCTGGCTGCACTGTGAGGGACAGGGTAGGAATGGGGCAGGAGGCTGATTGGTAGACACCTGAACAGCTACATACCCTCCCATTTGGGAGGAATCCTGTGAGAAGCAGAGGCAGGCCTTGCCTCCCACTAGGGAGATCAAGGAAGGGAGACAGTTTCCTCTCCTAGAGCCCTGGAAGCTGTACCATGTTTCTAACCAGGTCTTTGAAGCCAAGCGCAAGATCAACACAAGACCTCAGTGGGACCATTCATAATTCACTGTGGAGGCAGCAGATGGGGAGAGAAAAAGAGTCAAGCCAGGCATTTCCTTGAGATGGGGATTCAGCAAAGCCCCAGGAGCTGTCTGGTCCGTTCCTTGTCTGCTTATTTTACCCAGAATTGATCTGGTTGTCTGCACCTAAGTATCTTGAGGTACACCTAACCTCCTTTTAAAAGGAACTATTATAGAGCTATGCTGGGGCAATAGCAGGGGTGTGCAGACAAGTGGATAGATTGGAAGCCATCAGTCAAAGTGATGTATTTTAAAAGGGAAGTTTGAGCTAGGGAGATAGCTCAGTCTAAGTGCCTGCCTGGCAAACACAAAAACCCAGGTTTGATCCCTGGTACTGCATACGGTGCTGGGCTGGCCACCAAAACCAGGAGTGGTGGTGCACACATGTAATCCCAGTGCTGGGGAGGCTGAGACAGGAGGATCACTACAAGTCTGAGCTGCATAGTGAGACCCTGTACCAAATAAAGAAGTAAATAAATAATTTTTTAAAAATACAAGGAAAGTTTCCTACCAACTATTTGAGATGTATATTTCTAGGAATCTGACCTACAAATACCATTGCATTCAAGCAAAAGAGGAAATCCTCAAGGTTATTCATTGTAACATTGTTTGAAAAAGAGAGCTCACATTAATTCCCTTAATAGAAACGGGTTTATACAATTTAGTCCTTTCCATACAGTAATACTATGTAGCTCTTTAAAAGTGGGAGCTGATTGATGGTGTATATCAATGGCAGAGCACCTGACTAGCATTTAAGAGATGCTAACTGGGTTTAACCCCCAGAACTAAAAAAAGAAGAAAAAATGTGTGGGGTTGCTTATGTACTTATATAAATGGTTTTCAAGATGCATTGCAAAATATTTTAAAGGGTTTGGGATATAGCTCAGTGAGAGCACCTGCCTGGCAAGTAGTGCAAGAGCCTTGCAAGTTCAATTACTAGTACAAAAATAAATCAAATTAAAAATCAAGGTGTAAAACAGCATGTAAGGTTTATTAACATTGTGTAAGAAGGGTTAAGATAGACTAGGTTAAGCTACAGTAACAAACCATCCCCAAGTTTCAGTGACTTAAAACAACAAATTTAGGCTGGGGAGATAACTCAGTAGTCTAAACGCCTGCCTGGCAAGTATAAGAACCAGGGTTCTATCCTTGGTACCTCATGCCTCAAGTCCAAGCTGCATAATGAGGCTCTGTACCAAAAAAATAAATAAATGATTTAAAAAATTCAAACAACAACTAAACCGGGCATGGTAGCACTCATCAGTAATCCCAGCACTCAGGAGGGTGAAGCAAGAGGATCACTGTGAGTTTAAATCCAGCCTAGGCTACCTCAGGAATTCAAGGTCAGCCTGAACTGTATAATGAGGTCCCATGTCTTGGTTACTTTTCTCTCATTGCTGGGACAAAATACCTGACACTCAAAGAGGAAAAGGTTTATTTATCATAGTTTTTGGAGGTTTCAGTCTGTGATCAGCAGGCACCAAGGTAGGGTGGAATGGCACAGGGGTAACACTTCAGAGTGGTAGAAGACAGGAAAAGCAACAAGAGCAGAAGGGGCAGGAGAAGAGAGAGAGAGGGCAAGCCTCTTTTCTTCTCGCATGTTGCGTGCAGGTTACCACCCTAGGGTGGGTATTGCATTCAACCCATAATCCCAGCACTGGACCATGAATCAATCATAAACTCTGGACTGAATGAGGCTTGGGGGGACATTTAAACACAAATTATAACACCCCACAACACATTTTTGTTGTCATACACATCACATATCCAACTCAGGTTATCAGGTGGTAGGGCAGCTTTATTCTTGTAAGGGAAGGAACCCAGAGGGATGGAGATGACAGAGATTTATCCCAATTTTACAATGTCAGGCAGTGAAAGAAAATGTGGTACATTATACAATAGCCCTTAAAGCACCAGTTATCTTTCATTTACAGTTCATTGTCAAAGCAAACCACACAACCACAAATGCAGTCATGTGCCATTTAGCGCTTAGGATACCTTCTAAGAAAGACATCAGGCAGTTTTGTCATTGTATGAACATTACAGAATGTCCTTACATGGTCTAGGTTGACTATTCCATGTGGCCTCTTGATGCAATCAAGAGATTCAGTAAACACAACACGGATGAGGCCACCATACTGCTGTACCTTTAAGATATTTTAGAAGTAGGAGTGTACTTAAAAATAGCCTAAGACCAGGTGCAGTAGCATGTGCTATAGTTCCAGATACTCCAGAGCCTAACACAAGAGGATTGCTTGAACCAAGGCATTCTAGCCCAGCCTGAACAACATACAAGTGCTCGCTTCGGCAGCACATATACTAAAATTGGAACGATACAGAGAAGATTAGCATGGCCCCTGCGCAAGGATGACACGCAAATTCGTGAAGCGTTCCATATTTTTAGTAATATTCTCACTTTAAGGGCATATTTATGTAATCCTGATTTAATTGTAATCTGTTTTGTGAGAGAAATAAAATTAAAGATGCACACCAAAAAAAAAAAAAAAACATACAAGATGTCATCTGGAAAATA